CTCTCTCTCTCTCTCTCTCTTTCTCTCCCTCCCTCCCTCCCTCCCTCCCTCCCTCCCTCTCTCTCTCTCGGAATGCACTCAGCGCTCACACCCTAGTGACTACTTTGTCTCTCTCCTCCCTCGTTAATCCTCGCTATAGCGCTCCACACCATGTTACTCCGCCAATTCACCCAACCAGTCTCAGTGACCTTTACATAAGACTTCAACATCACTTCTGCAACACACAATAAACAAGTGACACTCTCAGGTACTGTAGCCACTGCGGTTGATAAGAGACAAGCAAGAGTGAAGATAACGAGGGAGAGGAGGAGGAAGTACATACCTGTGGGAGTAGGCTTGGCGGTCATGGCCACCCAAGATGTGTGTGCAGACCATTGCAACAATTTTGTAATTTGGAATAATAGTATATTATAATACCTTGGGACTTTCTGGAGATATCTGCTCCCGTTGCTCTGCATTGCGGGGAGTTGGGAGCTTGCATGATTGCAATGCCTTTGGGATTGGATCATGTCGTTGGTATCAGAGAGTGCTCTCATTGCACGGACGGTTGGAGAAGGAAGAAGGCCGATGTTAATTAAGGCTAAGGAGTGTGTTGGGTAGGTTTAACTTGGAGGAAAACTTGGAAGGCTGAAGGAGAAGTGCCTGCGGAGGGCCAAAGAAACCAGGGAGGAGTAATACTCACTTGAAGATTTATGGAGCGGCATCTGGTGCCATCAAGTGGAAGTGCTCCTTAACCTTTTGTTTGTTGCTCCGATTTGCCGTTGTTTTCTGGAATTCATCAATCTTTCCCTTGTATGTGAAGCTGCTGGTCAATTCTGTTTGTTTTCAATTCTTGTGGACATCAATTAGGTCTAGGACTCGGAATATGGACCCATATGCTGGAGTAATTCTCGAGGACGTTGTTGGCAGTGCTTAAATCGCTGGTTTGCTAGAATGGTAGAACCTGCATTGTGTGCGACCTCTAACTTGATCATCATTAGACTCTGTGGTAGGAGGAGGGTGGAACGAAAGTGGTCAAATTTGAGCGGTAGTTGCAGTTCTCGTCAGCATGGAGGAATATCCCTTCTACACTTTCCTTGATCTTGCAGTGCTTTAGCAGCTGTTGTTCGGAATGATTTTTCCCGTAGGTTTCTTTCGGACGTGTCGTATGCACACAATGGACTTCAGAGGCAGATATGGAAGGCCCCTGAAAAAAAACAAGTCCAGCAGCTGGGGGATGGACTTCATCTGCACACTTCCCGTAGTTTTCTTTCGGACGTGTCGTATGCACTTGAAGGGACGAAAACAAGAGCCACGGTAAAGGAGGAGGAGCAGAACAGAAAGAAGAAACAGAAAAGAAAAAGGAGGGTGTTGAAGGAGAAATCCAAGGAGGAGGAAGGAGCTAAGAAAGGAGGAGCAGAGAGATATACGTCATGTTATATATACGTATCTGCTCCTATGCCTCCTGCAGACAGTCCAGCTGCCACAGCATCATATTATATGCCCTTCAGCGTTAGATATTCACGAATCACCTGTACAACAGGATGTGGTCCCTGCCCAGAGTACACTCCCCAATTCCAGGGACAGTCCCTACTCAGGATGCGGCCCCAAACGTTGAGGGATTGGAACATGATCTGCCTGGATTGCAGTTAACCCCACAAGGCGTAGACCGCATGGGGGTTCTGCAAACGACTGACCAGCATCGTTTTGATGAACCACAAATTTGTGACCCACCACGAGCAGACCACATGGGTGATCTGCAAATGACTGACCGGCAAGCAACCCAGGACATTTTGGGCTTCCAACACCATCTGGGCGATCTGCAAATTGTTTGCCAGCATCCGGCACACCGGCCTGTCTTCACATTCTCCACTGCCCGCTTCATACACCATCAGACTTCCTTGCAATCACCCTTAGTTTGATGGTGATCTCCCCCGCCTACAGCACGAGGATTGTAATTATACCAGGGGAAGAGGCTTTACCATTGCTGTCCTACAAGTGGCAATGAGGGACCGCCAACTTGAACTATGCAATGCTCGAGCAGGTGAGTGGTTTAATCCTCCATCCCACATCTCTGCTTGTAATGTGCACGGACCTGGCCATTACATGGCCATTGTACATATCTGTGACGACTGGGAGTTGTGGGACAACGGCATCATGGTCCATGCCATGACTGATGTTATGGACTTCTTACATAATGATGATGCTGTTTTCTTGCCACACCAAACAGTCCGCAATCTCTTTTATGTCAAAGATCATTCCTCCGCGTGCTGCAGCAGGACAATGTACCAACACTCTGCGACCTTCTTCTTTGCACAGCTACAGACACTGTTACACTCGGCTGTAGCCGCCATCGTCTCTATCTCAATCTCTACAATGACATGGTTTCTGCATCATGTGTGTAGAGGACTGTCCCTCCCGGACAGCAGGCACCCTCCGCATCCGGACACTATATGTCCATTTTGTGGCCATGGGCGCTATACTGAATGCATGGTCTTTTGTGGTGTGCGATCTTCCTTCATTTTGGCCTGCAATTGACATGCCATTCGTCAGGAATGTATGGTGGGCATGCTCAATACCAGCCATGGTGGC